TTATTTTGACATTTTGCACCCTCAAAATAAATTAATAGCACTTTGCACCACTAAAACACACTATATCATGCATAATGTACCCCACATGAGTTTGTAAAGTTGGTAATTTAATATTATTTAAAAATTATATTTTTTATCTTAAAACAATCGTTCAGCTATTTCATTATCAAGTTATTTGAAAATCATATTTTCTTCCAAAAAAATATACCTAATATTTCCACCAATTAGAATAAAATATCTATCAATCGAATATACTTGATTTTATTTTGTAAGAAAATAACACTTTTTTTTCAATTCTCCGGTGTAATTTTTATTTTTTCGCACTTTGTGCGCTCGAAATTAGATTGGAGGCGATGAAGAAAATAACAATTTAACGTGTTATTTTGCACCCGGAAAAAAAAACCAATAAAAAATGATTTATCGTTTATTATTCAATTAAGGGTGTATTGTGAATGATTCATTGTGTTTTGAGGGTGTAAAATGCTATTATTATTTGTCAAGGGTGCAAAGTGGGATTAAGCGGAAGGGTAATTTAATTGCTTCTCCCACATCGGGAAAATAAAACAGTACAGAGTTCTTCTTATAGCGCAGGTTCGATAGTATGGTTCGTCCCTTCGGGGACATCCGATAAAATTGGAACGATACAGAGAAGATTAGCATGGCCCCTGCGCAAGGATGACACGCATAAATCGAGAAATGGTCCAAATTTTTTTTTGGGTGAAATTTTAACCTAATTTAAGCGTTTCAGTCATTGTTTGATTTTTCCTCAATTTTTTTTTTCCAGATCCGTGAAAGGTTAACCATTGAAGCGTTTCAGTCAATTGTTTGAGGTAGGGAAACCCTAAATTTTTTATTTCTGGGTGTTCATATGTATGGTGATTTGGGGGTTAGGGTTTTGCAGAAACCTGAGTTCTTAATTTATCTTATTTGATGATTTGATGATATGTGTTATTTTTTTTTTTTTTAATTACCTGATGAAGGGTGAAGAAGACGTATAGGTATTGTCGAAATGAATAAAGGAGGAATGGGCGTCGGCGGTGGCGGCGGCGGTGTTGGTGGACCGACGGCCGCCGCAGCGGCGGCGGCAGCTCAGAAGCAGAAAAGCCTTCTGCAGAGGGTGGATGCAGATGTTGGAATTCTCGTTGATAATTTTGGATTCCTGGTTAATGTAGCTCGGGTATGTTCATAAATTCATCCTCTTTGTTCAATTAAGGCTAGGCATATTTAATCAGTTACCTGTTTGCACGTTTTCTCTGTGTTGATTGAAGCTTTGGATATGGCTGCCGTTTAGTACTTCTGGTTATATTTTAATTTCCGAGCCCATGGTTTAGGTACGACTATAAGAACAGGGATTCGAGCGAGTTTTTCGAACAATCATTCTATTGTTGGTTTTATTCTTTGTCATTCGATTTTGGTCAATGCATGTATCAATAGGCCTGTAGATACAAGTTGTGTATGAGCACTGTATCTAAGCTCTGATTTTCGATGTTCGATAAATGCACGTCAAGCAAAACAGAAATGTGTGAGCTTTGTAGCATTGTCCATTTCTAGCTGATTTTTATACTAGGTGTCTCTATCTTCTGTATCGTTAATTTTATCGTGTTTCAAACTCGTTACGCTTTCTTTTCAATATCTATGTTTAAAACTTATAAAAATAGATTCTTTAGCCAAATTTTATGGAGAATAGAGCAATCGTCCGAAGAACACCGTCGATCTCTAATGATGTCTTGATCTGTGTTTTGTTTTAAGAAACGTAAATTAGCTACAGAATACTCTTTAACATATATCATTGTCGACACAGGTCACAATTATTAGCAGCCGTGATTTGGTATCTTGACATAATATTAGCCGATTAATACCTAACTTAAAAGATATAAATCCCTTGTTACTAATTTTGTATGCCTGCTATCAACATCACTTCAGGCTGATCTCTGTATCTGTCATTCTTAAATTGTTGTTTGCTTTATGTCCAATCCAATCTTGTATTGTCTATTTTTTTTTTTTTCGATTTTTTGAAAGATGATGAACGTGGAAGATAGGTGTCAAAATAAGGGAAGTAGAAAATGGAAAAAGGGATTGGTATCTTCTTTCATGCTTTATTTGTTTGCCCCGTTATTGAGTTTTTCACTATGTTTCGTTGCTAATTTTGTTTTTTCTGAAGCTGAGCATATTCCCAGGTGTTTATAAATCTGATGAAACTGTGTACATTTTAGGTTAACGATCCACCAGTTCGAAACTCGCAAGAATCTTTCATGATGGAGATTCGTGCTGCTAGAATGGTGAGAATTTTTTTACTAGTATTCTTATTCTTATTATTATATATTAGGCATTTCGTATTTTAATTTCCCCGATGCTTAAAAATCACGCAAAAATCCCAACCGAAAATCAGGCTCAAGCTGCCGAGTCGTTGCTAAAGTTAGTTTCGGAATTAAAGCAAACGGCAATTTTTTCTGGATTTGCGTCTCTGAATGATCACGTTGACCAAAGAACAGAGGAGTTGAATAAAATGGAGGAAAGCACAAACGGGAAGTTGTCAAGAATCGGAGAAGAGGCAGCTGCTAGTCTCAAGGAGCTCGAGTCCCATTATTACTCTTCCGCCATTAGAACGAGCAATGACGCCACATCAGCCAGCCTTTAGGCAAAGATGAAGAGAGTTTCATAATTTGTAATTTGTAATTTCATGGAGCAAATAATCTGTTTCTTATTTATATTTAATTTTTTTTTTTGGGTGTAATAGTCAAAAAACGATTGTGATATTTGATTATCTTCGAATGAAAGTTGTTGTATGGATACGATAAGTCTATGTATTATATTTTAATCGATTATATATTTTAAAAAAATGTTATATTGTTTTTTTAAGTACTATACATTAAAAATAATTAACAAAATTTTATCTTCATAATTAATAATTGGATGAATTACACCTACACCCCTAAATTATGCTAAAATAAGTTTAAGGTCCTAGTGGTATCGGTAATTACAATCACCTATGAAACATTGTTAGAAACTCTAACGGGATAATGGATTAGATACTATATTGGGAGAACCATGTCACCCCTAACTTTATGTTGTCGTGTCACCACTTGATGAAACTAATATTCCGTTAGCCTTTTATCGGAATAACGTATCCAATATACTATCCCATAGAGCTTCTAACAATGTTTCAGAGGTGATGTAATTACATATACTATAGGGACCATAAATTTATTTTAGCATACCTTAGGGCTAATTGTAAGAGTAATTTACCATTAATAATTTTATACAATTACTCGTATTAAATTCAATTGAATACGCCCCCCTTATCAAAACCCACAGTCCCCACTCACTCCGCATTCCACCGGCGAGGATGGAGCTCCGCCTCTACAATCCGGCCAACCTCCGCCGCTTCTGCCTCACGGTACAGTCACGCTCCAACAAAACTCCAGATTCCGACCGCAATTGTGAACCAGAGGCCCTCCAATTTCGCAAGCTATCGAAGAAAGACCTCTCACGAATATTGAGAACAGAATCCGCCATTAAAGCCGTCGAGAGAAAGTCGAAATCTTCAAAGTACAATAACCTCTGGCCTAAAGCTGTTTTAGAAGCTCTTAACGACGCAATTAAGCTTAACCGCTGGGAATCCGCTCTCAAGGTTTCTCTCTCCTCCTCTACCTGAAACCCCCGTTCGTACGAATTCTCATTTCTGTGTGTGCGCGCGTGTGTGTGTTTATAGATTAAAGTATTTGCCTTACTGTTTAATTGAATGGATTTCATCTTCTTTTTGCTCAACATTAATTTTGATGAAATATAGAATTGTCTGTAATTTTCGCCCCTGTTTCGTTAACTATATCGTATCTCGTGTTTTTATAGATATTCGATCTTTTACGTAAGCAGCATTGGTACGAGCCGCGAGGCCAGACATACACGAAGCTGTTAGTAATGTTAGGCAAATGCAAGCAGCCGAATCAAGCTACTTTGCTTTTCGAGTTAATGCTGTCCGACGGGCTCAGTCCGACGGTCGATATTTACACAGCGCTCGTGGGGGCCTACGCCTCCAGTGGCCACTTCAACAAAGCGTTTAGTATCGTAAACGATATGAAATCCATTGAAGATTGCAAACCAGACGGTTTTACTTACTCCATCCTTATAAAAAGCTGCATTAAACTCCAATGCTTCGATATGATCGAGCTGATTCTAAATGAAATGTTGCAATCGGGAATTGAATTTAGCGCCGTGACGTACAATATCTTGATCGATGGGTACGGCAAAGCTAAACGTTTTGAGCAGATGGAGAAATTATTGACTGAGATGACGCGGAGTGGCAAATTTATTCCCGATATTTTTACTTTTAATTCCGTAATTGGGGCTTACGGTGGATGTGGAATGATTAAAGAAATGGAGAAGCGGTTTGATGATTTTAAGGAAATCGGATTGGAGCCTGATATAATGACGTATAATATTTTAATCAAGTCGTACGGTAAATCTGGCAATTACAAGAAAATGGGATCGGTTATGGAATTCATGAACAAGAGATTCTTTTCTCCCACGGTCGTTACGTATAATATAATAATCGAGATATATGGAAAAGCTGGAAACATCGAAAAGATGGACGAGGTTTTCTTGAGGATGAAGCATCAAGGTTTGAAGCCTAATTCGATTACGTACAGCTCGCTTGTTTCTGCGTATAGTAAAGCTGGGATTTTGGGGAAGGTCGATTCTATTATAAGGCAGGTCCAGAATACTGATTTGGTGCTCGATACGACTTTCTTTAACTGTATTATCAATGCGTATGGAAATGCGGGCGATATCGAAAGAATGATGGAGTTGTTCAGTGCTATGGAGGGGAATGGATGTAAACCGGATAATATAACTTTTGCTACGATAATACACGCGTGTCGTGCGCATGGGATGATGGATACTGTTAAGAATTTGGAGAGTACTTCAGGTAAATTTATTATTATTATTTTTTTCGTGTTTTTCGTCTATCTGAGCATAAACTTTGTGTTAATGAATAATTGTGAATGTATGCTGACTTTATTCGATAATGATGATTATGTTTTAACAAGGGTAAATTACAACCAACCCCCTAAGGTATGGTCAAATTACGAAAACCACCTGTGTTTGGGTAATTACGTCCACCCGCCTAACTATAAATCTTCTTAAACGTCTATCCTTGCAGTTTCAAATTTAGTGGAATATTATCACTTTTGTACCCGTTTTATTCCATTTGAGCTCCACATTTTGAAGCAAGATGATCATAAGATGTGTTTTTTGGCTTGCATATATCATATTGTAGTGCATTATAAACTGTATTTTTACACAAAACGAGTACAAACTAGAGCACATTCCACGGAATCTAGATGATTATGTTGAATTTGACACCATAAGGGTGGATGAGTAAAAAGATTCATAGTTGAGGGTAGATGTAATTATCCAAAAAAGAGGGATTTTTTTCGTAATTTGGCCGTACCTCAGGGGGCTGGTTGTAATATACCCTTTTAACTATTTCTCAGGGTGGAAGTTGATTGGCTGAAGTTGGAGAAACTATTGACAAGGATTGGTTAAAACTGGGAAGAAGTTTAGCCCCGGTTATTACATTGTTTTGCTGGTGAGTACAATATACCGTTTTTTTGTTGTGTGTTGACTTAATGTGTTGACTAAGCTCGGATTCTGATGTGTGAGAAGTGTTTATATACGAAGGCTGTTTAGGCTAACCTGCTGTTGTTATAGAAACGTTTTGATTGGAAAAACCCGTGATCTGGTTTTGTATATGTTCGAAGAGCATGTTTGTAATGAAAGACCGCATTATACGATTTAAAGAAAAATGCCGTTCAGATGAATAATCGAGGGTGCTGAATTTTGTATTTAGAAATCGATATGTATTCAGAAAAAAAAAAGCTATTTGGAAGAAGGAACAGAAGGCTGAAAGATCCGAGGACTTGCAGCAGCATGAATCGACCAACATCGAAAAGCAAATGGGATGAAATTATATTATATATACACATTCATTTTTTTTTTAAATTTAAATCTTGTTACAAACGGAAAATATTTGAAAAATGCTTAGAAAAATGGTCCTCTAGAAAAAGAAGATTAATTTTCGCGAAAAGTACTAATTCTACACCTGCAGACGTGACATTTTTTAAGGGTTAATGGTAATACTAAAAAACGTTGTCAATGTGTTATTTAAGAAGACTAAAGATTCTGTGTAAAGGTCACCATGAGGGTAATTTTTGTCTTTAAAAAGTAGTATAAAAGAAAGCAACATCTGTAGGAGTAGAATCGATATTTTTCGGGAAATATTCTCTTAACTCAAAACAATTTCGTGAAAAATAATACCCGTAAGGTCGAGGGGATTTTGGTAATTACGAATAAGTTTTTCGTTTGACGTCAGTTCATGGGGGCTTTTCGTAATTTACACTAGTTTTAGCAAATCCAGCAAAATTGATCACCTGAAAACGAAATACATGTGAAAGGTATCTAAGTTGTGGATGAATAAAAACAAAAGGAATTGAAAAAAAGAACAGTAGAAAAAGAATGTCAATTAGGTCAAATTCAAGATTGAAATCCAAGAGTGGGAAATTGACTTGAGACCACAACAAATCATAAAGTCTTTGCACTGTCAATGGAGTTTGTGTAAGACTGGTAATATGCCAAGGAAGGAAAGTTTCAACACGCACAGACCCGTATGTGTGTGTGTGTTTGTGACCATAACTAATAATAACTTCACATCTGAAAACACTTATATTCTATTTGACAAATAAGTCAGTTTTGCTCCAATGAGTTTGAGTTTAATGATTGCTTTCTTGATTTTTCAACTAGCTTGTTTGAATGTGACAGCACTCATATATATATATATATATATATATATATATATATATATATATATATATATATATTCGTTTTCTCACCTAAGTGAGTTATCAAATCTAGAAGCATATTGGAACGGAGTTTAACACTTTGAAAAATTCTAGAAATTGAAAAATTAATTCTAATTATATTCCAAGAAATTAAAAAACATCGGAAATAGCAATGAATAGTTTTGTTCCAAAGTTGGAAGTTTTTCGATATGTATTGACAAAACACGAAGATTCCAAATCTGTTGGAGTAGTTAATATGAGCAATCTCGCCCATACGGGTCTCGTCTAAATAAATAAGACCGATTGTACATAAGGTCCAAGATGGACAATCCAAAGATAGAAGCTCAGTTTTGTTAAAAGGATATATAAAATCATATCATGAAGAAAATGTCGTTCGTTCGGCGACACAAGGTAAAGGCACAATGTGTTGTGGCAAGACATCGGGGCAAACTTTTAACCGTGCTGAAGCTTATTTAAACTAAAAGCCCATTAAATGCAACAAACGAAATAAGGAGGAAATTGAGTTAAAAAAACACATAAAGAAACTTGCTTCTCAAGGCACAAAATATCAATAAATAGTGTATTCACTCAAACTTCTCTTCTTTAATGCTTCTTTATTGAAAACACGACAATATACACTTAAATTACTCTTTCTGACTTGATCGTCAAAGCTTTTACGTTGGACAACTTTTCCATATCGGTGTTGCAGGAACGACGTTTGACCAACATTCTAGCTGAAGTTAAAGACTGACGTAAGCAAAATTAGGCTGACATCGTCGCACCGACGAACAGAGCTCGATCACTTCGGAAGTGCCAAGTTGGAGACAATATTACAGGGGTCGGCGCCGCAAGGTAGATTCATTTGCGTTCTCACACAAACAAAAAAGGCCAAAGTGAGAGAGAATTGTATGATGGTGATGCATGTGCAATGTGACATTTATTAGACTAGTTCAAATAGTTTCCTTTGTTAAAGAAATACACTTACATTATGAGCTATTTGATTTTGAATTACTTCATGAATTTACAGATGTGCCACTTACCTAAAAATTAATGTAGTATTTTATGAATAAAGTCATATTTTTCTCTTTGTAGTTTCTTAAACGAATTTAAGTTAATTTGAATATTATCAATGAATATATTATTAATTTTTACTATTTAGTTGAATATTATATTTAAAGGGTGTTTGGCTAAGCTTATAACATGTTAAAAAGAGCTTAAGATGTTTTAGAGCTTATAAGCTCTTCCAAAGTATTTGGCAAATTTAATTCAATTTTTTTAAATTTAAAATAAGTTGTTGGAGAGCAAATAAAATCTTTTCATGAAAATACATCTACCCCACCTTTTTAATTTAAGATCTTATAATGAGTAAAAATAGGAAATACTCATTATTCAAACAATCTAAAATTTAATCATAAAAATAAGATGTAACAACTTATCATCTCTTAAAACATCTTATCAGACGTAAGAACTTATTAGCTATTTAAAATAAGCTTAGCCAAACACCCTCTTATGTTGGAAACCGAACAAGACAAAAAATATACTTATGGCTCGTTCGATTACTGCTATAAGGTTCTACATACTAAATAATAGGTGCTAGTAACACGTTGGGTTAGCAAGATCCAAACGTTTTCAAACTCTCTACGAAAACCAAAGTCCTATATTAAATCTTACTATTTATTAAATTTGTGGTCCGAGTCATAAAAATCGTTATAAATTTGTCTTAATTTTAGGAAAATAAATATTATTTGATCAAACTACTCTTATCTACTAATTAATACATGGAGACTAGAGAATGAGAGTTAATATGACAAAATTGAAAAAACAGAAAATAATGCTTTATTAAAATTTTAAAGTGATAAATAATATAAAACAAAGAATTTCTTTAAAGCCACGTATATTATTGAATAGTAGGAAGTATATTACTAAAATAATATTTCTTTTTATGTAGTAATATTTCAGCCCTATGTTTTTTATTTATTATTTATTTATAATAATGAAAATTGCAAACGAAACTGTTGTAGCAAGTAGCATCGACTTCAAATTTTCAACAATCAACAAATATTTCAAATAATAATAAAAGAATCCAAATAAAACTAGAAGTATACAAATAAATAAATAAATTGAGACGAAAAGCCACGTGGACGAAATTCAAACTATATAAACCCCTCCACGCGAAAAACACACACTTAAAAAATCTCTCTCTCTCTCTCTAGATCTCTCTCTCTCTCATCCCTCTGTTGATTGTAATTCTCCTTTGCTTCGAATTCCTCAATGGAAAATTCAACCCGGACCCGGTGCTCCGTTCTCGTAATCGGAGCCGGTATTTCTGGTAATTAATCCTTTTTTTACATTCCAAATTAATAATATATTTAATTTAATTGAATTTAATTGCTGTGTTGATTATTAATTAATGGTGTTTTTTTATATATATGCAGGAATAACGGCGGCGAAGGTACTGGCGGAGAACGGAGTGGACGACTTTGTGATACTAGAGGCGGCTGAGAGAATAGGGGGAAGGATAAAGAAGGAAGAGTTCGGCGGCGTGACGGTGGAGCTCGGCGCCGGTTGGATCGCCGGCGTGGGAGGGAAGGAGGTGAACCCGGTCTGGGAACTGGCGCGTGAGTGTAACCTCCGCACTTGTTTCTCCGACTACAGCAACGCTCGTTACAACATATACGACGATAAGTATGTTCCTACTTTTATTTATTTGCCGGTCCGGGTTCTTTAATTTAAGGCTAAATTACGAAAACTCCCTGAACTTAGGCTAAATAACAAAAAATACCCCCACCTATTCCTAATAACCAAAATCCCGATTTTATTAAGTGTTGATCGAGTTTTTTAACACAAAATGTGTACATTCTATTATAATTATTGTTAAATAGGTGAGAGATAAAATAAAACATCTGAAATTGTGTAAAGCCGATTCTCTGTAATAATAAAAAAAAATCCATGAAAAGTCACACCGTAAGGGGTTGGTGTAAGACGGAAATAAACCTCAGGGGTTTTGGTAATTACAAATAAGTACGGTGTTTTTCGTTATTTAGCCTAAGTTCATGGGGGGTTTTGTAATTTACCCTTAATTTAACAATTTTTTAATCTAAAATTCTGAAAGAAATTGGAGGTTTGTTTTAATTATTAAGGATTAATTTGGTCTCTTAGAGTTCTAATTAGAAGGGGATTCTGATTTTCAACGATTTTGATCTGAAATTTTCCAATTTTGAACCAATACTTTCATTCCAAATTTCAAAAAATCCGATTCCAATTTTTTTTAATCTGAATTGGAATATATGAGACTCCAATTTTTAATATCGAAAATAATTTCAAAAATTCCGATTTTTACGAAAATTTCACTTATAATATTAATATGCAATTTATATATTAGGTGATTGTAAATTATAATTTTTTGAATTCTGACGATTTCGATCCAAAAATTTCTTATTTTGGAACTGAGTTTTTTCATTTTAATTTTCAACTTTTCAGATATTTTTTTAACGTAACTATAATTAAATCTTCACTTCTGATTTTTCTTTTTTGATTTTTTTTAGTGTTAATTCCTATTCGATTCGTCCGATCTCCACACCATGCATACTTTAATTATGTGTACATTAAACGTAAAAAACTTCAAATTTATTTTAGCAGTTGTAGCATCGTAACCAGATTTAATTGATAAATTCAAATCAAATACACAACTTATTCATAATTTTCAATTTTCTTTGTGTAAATGCACTAGTGGGAAGATATTTCCGAGCGGCGTAGCGTCGGACTCCTACAACAAGGCGGTGGAATCGGCTATCCAGAAGCTGCGTAACCAAGTATCCAATCCCAACGCCAATGAAACGCCGTTGTAAGAGCCATTTTCCCCCCTTTTTCTCCGTTTAAAACAAATAATTTTTCCGTCGTCGTATATATATTGAATTTTTTTCATTTTCGCAGAGCTCCGAAGAGTCCAATCGACCTCGCAATTGACTTCATTCTTCATGATTTCGAAATGGCAGGTAAATTTTTTTTAATAAAACAAATAACTATTTCACACCATTTTAGATCATGCGAATATTGAAATTAGGCTTTTTTTTTTTTTTTTTTCAAAAGAGGTGGAACCGATTTCAACTTTCGTTGATTTTGGAGAGAAGGAATTTCTGGTCGCCGATGAAAGAGGATACGAGCATTTCCTGTATAAAATGGCGGAATCCTTCCTTTCTTCCTCGTATGGTAAAATCACTGACAGCAGGTTGAAGCTCAACCAGGTAAATACATTTCATTTTTTTTTTATTACATCTTCAAGTGTATACATGTTTTGATGAATTATCGAAGGGAAAAAATACAGTTTTCATCCCTAAAGTTTGCACTAATTTCATATTTGGTCCATCGTGTTAAAAGAAATCAACATTTTCAGTCCTTTCTGTCAATTTTCCGTTAAAACTAGCGGAATCAAGCGTGTTCTCATCACCTACTTAACTGACGGACTAATGGTAAATTGACGGAAATGACCAAAAATGTTAGATTATTGAAACATAAAGGATCAAAAGTGTGTTTTGTGAACATGTGGGACCAAATGTGAAATCAGTGTAAACTTGAGGGATGAAAACTGTAATTATCCCAATTATTGAAATCAATGTAAACTTGAGTGAATTTCTCCTTTTAGATATTTAAGTTTGTTGTTTCGATTTCTGAAAAAAAAATGCAGATTATTCGGGAATTGCATCACTCGAGAAATGGTATAACCGTAAAAACAGAAGATGGTTGTATTTACGAAGCCGATTACATTATTTTATCCGTAAGCATTGGTGTTCTTCAAAGCCAACTCATCTCCTTCTCACCGCCTTTACCCGTAAGTTTCCTCAATTGCTCGGTTTCTTCTCTAGTTTGCGCTAATTACATTGTTTAAATACTAATCAAATCAATAACCAATTCAATTAACAGAGATGGAAAACAGAGGCTATATCGAATATCGATATAATGGTGTACACAAAAGTCTTCCTAAAATTTCCCCGTAAATTTTGGCCGTGTGGAGCTGATAAAGAGTTCTTCATTTACGCCCATGAACGACGAGGGTACTACACATTTTGGCAGGTGTGTGAAAATTGTTTTTTTTTAATTAATCAATTAATTATCTCTTCACGTTTCTTGAAATAATAATATTATATTTTTATTGATGTTTGGCTATGTGTATGTTATTATAGCACATGGAGAATGCATACCGGGGGTCAAATATCCTTGTTGTTACATTGACTAACGGAGAATCGAAACGAATCGAAGCACAATCGGATCAAGAAACCATGAGTGAAGCAATGGAAGTACTTAGAAAAATGTTCGGCCCTGATATTCCCGATGCCCTCGATATACTCGTACCGCGGTGGTGGAACAATCGCTTCCAATGTGGTAGCTATAGTAATTATCCCATCTACTTAAATCATCAACTCATCGATGATATAAAGGTTCGTATTTATCTACTGCATTCGAATTTTCGAATTTTTTTTTTTTTTATATAGCTTACATTGAATTTTCATTTTCTGGGCTGAAATTTTAATTCAGGCGCCGGTCGGGCGGATATTTTTCGCGGGAGAACATACGAGCGAGAAATTCAATGGATACGTGCATGGTGCTTACCTTTCGGGTAATAAAATATTGCGCAAAAATTGCAACAATCATCTTGTACCTTAGTTTGCAAAAGCTTCTATTTTTATTGTAAAGAAGTTTCTAACTCGTAAAAATTGTGCAGGGATCGATACTAGTAAAGCTTTAGTCGAAGAAATGAGGAGTGAGAAAGAGAGGAAAGTCGAAAGTCAACCCTGTTTTCTAGAAACTTCTGGAAATCTCTTTATTAGTCACCGCAGTAAGCTGGGATTTTCCGAGGCTTGTTGATCACTAGACGCGCGTGTGTGTGTGTGTGTGTATTTAATTAGCTGCTAACTGTAATTTTTAGAGCAATACATTGTTCTCTAATTCTTGCACTTACATTTGTTTGGAAATAAATAAAATGTCTGGTTTGGTTTTGTTGTCCATTCTCAAACGGACTCTCTTCATATGTGGAATACATTCCCATATTGAATACTTTGCATACAATTTGTGAGAAGAAAAAAACATAACCCTAATAAATATTTTGGAATATTATGTTTAAATTTATAAATAATTTAAATTTGGGAAAATTACACTTTTTGCCCCTCAAGTTAGCACCAATTTCACATTTGCTCCCCCATGTTAAAAGAAAAACACATTTGGTCCATTATGTTTTAAAAATTCAATACTTTTAATCATTTCCGTTAAAACCAACGGAATCAAGCGTGTGCCCATCACTCCCTTAACTAACGGTAAATTGACGGAAATGACCGAAAGTGTGAAATTATTGAAACACGAGGGACCAAATTGTGTTTTTCGTGAACATGTGGAACCGACCAATTGTGGAATATATGCAAACTTGAGGAATGGAAACTATAAAAAAAAACCAAAAAGTGACTGTCCAATTGGGCAAGCCCAGCTAGCTTTAATGGGCCAAGGAAGCACCGGCTCGTAATCCTTCCACTGTAGAGAGAGGGAAGTAATCGCTGCTCTGTGAAGCCAGCCTGACGCGGTGCCCTCCTCTTTAGGAACCGGTCTCACTCCCTTAACTAACGGTAAATTGACGGAAATGACCAAAAGTGTGAAATTATTGAAACACGAGGGACCAAATTGTGTTTTTCGTGAACATGTGGAACCGACCAATTGTGGAATATATGCAAACTTGAGGAATGGAAACTATAAAAAAAAACCAAAAAGTGACTGTCCAATTGGGCAAGCCCAGCTAGCTTTAATGGGCCAAGGAAGCACCGGCTCGTAATCCTTCCACTGTAGAGAGAGGGAAGTAATCGCTGCTCTGTGAAGCCAGCCTGACGCGGTGCCCTCCTCTTTAGGAACCGGTCAGCCCAAGCCTTCGCACAAGCCGAACGGTTCAGCTCTCCACTTGGAACGGGCAAGCCAGATAAGAGCCGCCAGTGACCCAGCAAGCCGGTCAGGCCCAATGTCCAATCACCTTATTGCCCCCATTTGGGTCACAAGCTCGCATTACTGAGCTCGGCGAACTAAGTTGTTAGTATTCAGATATATAAAGCAAATCTCTTATTGGTGTTTTTCCGATGTGGGATATTTGAAACTAGAATTTGATCCTGTCTTTTGATTTACGAATTTGCCACTCTCAATATCTCTGTGCTATTGTCTTCATGTAGCTTGTCTCTTTCAATGTTTTATTATATAGCTTTCTGTATGAATAAACGATACACACACAAACACACATGTACTATGTGTGGACTTAAATTCGAGGAGAAAATAAGGGAGATATGCATTTAAATGATTTCATCATAATATTGATCTCACATTATCTATCAATAAAAAAAAAATCTTAAATTTGTCAGAGTGGCTCGCAAAATTAGTTATCATCTGAACAATTCAAACTATGAATAGTTATTGTAAAGTATTCGTAATTTACACATCGAGTTCTCTGATTCAAATCAAATATTAAGGGTTGTTTTTATAATCGATTACATTTAACTAGGGGCGGAAATTGGACTGATCTTGTCGCGATGCATTTTCGGAAAAAAATAAATCTATTTTTCCAGAAAATTGTTCCAATCCAAATCTGAAAATTAATAACAATATTTTCGAAATTTCTTTGCTTTATCAACCGATAATATAAAAATTCATAACAATATTGCTACAATATAAAACGTTTATTATCTCTTTGATTTTTGATATTTGAACAACATCATCAACAAATTGTGGAAGTGACCAAGTTTCTTTCCTTAAAACTTTGAATAGTGTCCTTCACACTTTGCTCCACAGAAATAAAATTAATGCCCAATGATTTTGCCTTCTTATTTGACACTTGGAATAGTGGTGTACTTGCAGCCTCATTTTCCTCTGAACTGTAATTAAACAGTATAGAGATACAGTTAAATCTCTATAAATTAATACAGTCGGGACTAACAAAATTCTATTGAATTGTACCTCTTTGGAAGGTTGAGCGTTGGATAGAGATCATGTAAGAAATTCAAAGAACAATATAACACGTTTGCGACGACGCAATATCGACCACCAGCTGAAGGATTCTCAAATGCTAGTAGATGTGCAGATGCAACGTCTCTTACGTCAACGTACATGAAAATTCCACCTGGCATTCCATTGCTCTTTCCTGCAAAAAACACATATATACAATTACGGTTAAGCGTGCGTTATTGGAGATATTAATATTAAATAACTGTATACATACATACGCACATACATACATACCTTCTCTAATGAAGTTGAGAAAAGATTGAGAAGTGAGATTGAGAGTTGGCTGCAACAAAGGACCAATGACGAAGCCAGGATTTATACATAACAAGTCCATACCATTTTCTTTAGCAAAATTGAATGCAGCTTCCTCCGCCAATGTTTTCGAAAAAAGATACCATTGCTGAAAATATACCCGACGTTTTGGTATATTTAATTTAGGTATTTACGTTGAAAAAATATACTTTATGGGAAGTATTTTTAATATATATTTAATTACAAATATCACCCATGAGAAAGTCGTAACTACACTTTTCACCATCTATACTTATTTTTAGGCATCACACTCGACGACCCTTTTTCCATTTATGCCTTGACATGTTGTGAAAAGACAAAAATACCTGAAGATGTCTTTGCAAAAAGAAAAGCCTTTTAAAACTAAGGGACCAAATTGAATTTTTGAAAATTTGCAGAAACTTAAAAGGGATAAACTTCAATTTTTCAAGAACTTAAAGGGGATAAATTTCAATTTTCCATAACTTAATTGGATATGAAATAAGGGGACTGATCTAATTGCAATTTTTTGAAAAAAATAAATCTAACTTTATTGGTTTTAATTTTATAAATATTATGTATTTCATTATTTTATAACTTTATAAATACCAAATATTTGCTTTATCCATATTTACAATTTAATAAATCTGAATAGTATTTCAATTTTAAACAAACAAAATGCAAAAATATATATTAAAATACAAAAAAAGGAAATATTAAAAAAAAAAAAAGGGAGAAAGAAAGAAAAGATGCTGGGGGCAATTCCGTCAGTTCACACAACACAAATAAAGAAAAGTCACACAACCCGCTAGTCCCCGAGGCTAGTTTTTGGCTTTGCCCTATGTATCACGAAAACTTCAACTTGTTAACGTTTCTGTGTTTCGGAAACATATCGTGTCAAAAATTCTAAGACACCTGTCGAACACCTTATGGGCCATTTTGTAATTTCTAAAAAGTTATAAACATGTTTGGATAGCAAATTTTTAAATATCTTTGTTGTTTCCCAAATTTTTTTATATGATTGAATGGAAACTGCAAATTGATAATTGATAGTAGTTAAATCTATTTTGGATATGTTTGTATGAAAATAATTTATAAATAAATAAAAACTTATATATGTTTATGTAGACTATTTATAAATAGGGTAAATAGCACTTAACCCCCTTGTGGTTTGGGCATTTTGCACATGACCCCCTTGTGGTTTGAAATTATGCACATAACCCCCTTGTGGTTTTGACATTTTGCACATGACCCCCTTATGGTATGAAATTAGGCACATAACTCCCTTTGAATAGAAAACTGGAAAAGACTAAATATCCCTATCAAGTCAAAGTTCTTGTTTTAATTTAAAAATAATTATTCTATAAAATAAAAAGCTTAATGTATTTTTTTGTAAAATGAAAAATATAATATATCATCGTATTATTATCTTAATTTTACAGCACAAAAGGTGTATAATACTAGTTATTGTACGATTGACAATTTATTCGATTTTAAAAATCAATTTGAAAATCTTTAACATTTCATAAATTATGATTATTATATTACTATTTTCTATATAATATATTATATTATAGTTGTTATCGAACTTTAATTTTTTTAAGAAACAAAGTCTTTATTTCTTTTATGGAAAATTCGAAAAAAACATTTCTCTATAGTTGAAATGAAAATTAAATTAAAAAATATATATATGTATGTGCTGTAAAATAGAAAAAACACAATAATATATTATATTTTTATTTGACAAAAAAGTACATTAAGCTTTTCATTTTTTAGAATAATTATTTTTAAATTAAAACAAGAACTTTTGACTTGATAGGGGCAATTTAGTCTTTTCCAGTTTTCTATTCAATGGGTTTATGTGCTAATTTCATACCATAAGGGGGTCATGTGCAAAATTTCAAAACCAGAAGGGGGTTATGTGCCTAATTTCATATCATAAGGGGGTCATGTGCAAAATGTCAAAACCACAAGGGGGTTATGTGCCTAATTTCAAACCACAAGGGGGTCATGTGCAAAATGCCCAAACCACAAGGGGTTTAAGTGCTATTTACCCTTATAAATATACTCCTATACTTTTAATATTTACACGTTTTCCCCAATTTTCGTATCGCTAGTTTTGGAAAATGTCATTTCCCCGTACCCATTTCCCCATATCGCCGTTTCAGTTTCCATGATACATAGGTTTGACTAATAAGCACAGGGTGTTGTTTGTTAGTCTTTTTTACCACATGGGGGAAAAGCGTAATTGCAACTTTTACAGGGCTGGTATTTGCAATAAACTCTATAGTATGATAAAGCATCAAACCTGAGTTTCCTCACAGAAAGAAGGATCAGAGAACCAAGTTTCATCAATTACAGTAGTAGTTGTAGTACTGCTGTTGCCTGTAGTAAATAATTCGGTTATGTCTCGGTTATACATAACCGAGCCCATCGAAGAAGTTAACACGACTCGTTCTATGGATGCCTTCGACTTTAGACATGAACTCAGAACATTTAGTGTTCCTCTTACAGCAGGTTCTATAAGTTCCATCTGTTTTATATATTATATATAAGAAAATACATGAATATGTAGTTAAGGCAAAAAAAATCAAATTTGATTTTTATATTTTTTTAATTCTGATTTTTAATTTGCTATTTTTGATTTTTGAATTGCTGTAAAAAAATCAGATCGAAATTCAAATCATAGTTATATATAAAATTTTAATTTAAACAAAAATGAATTTACCAAAAATAAAGCTTATTATATTAATATTGTTGCACCTTTATAATATTATGTATTTTTTATACAAGTATTTTTCTGATTTTGCAAATTTTGCCAATAAAAGATTTCCAACGTAAGAACAACTTTATATAGACTTTCATTTTCCAAGGAGTTGGTTTCTTATTATTCCTAAATTAAATTGTTTAGTATGGAATTGAAATTATTATTTTTATTAAATTATTTTTTTAGGAGAGCCTATTGGGCAACTTTGTTGCCCGGTTTTCACGCTTCACTCATGCGTTACACTACTACTAGTCGCAACTACAAGCGCCCGTCGCACCTTAAGAAAAAATATTTGATTCGTCGTATAACTATGCTCCTAATTAACTAATCATCCCATAAACCACCAATAATGATATAATAGGAATAATCTCGTAGTCTTGACTCTCATACCATTTGGAATGGTCGTAAATTTTACGGGTATTGATCTCTTATTCACGATTCCCAAGAATTTCAAAATGGTATCAAAGTCAAGATTGCAACGATTTCAAAAATGGAATCATAGTCAAAAAATGGAAAGATTTAAAAAATGGTATCAGAGTCAAGATTGCAATGATTCGACGGTATATATATATCAAAGTCGAGATTACGATATATTATCGAACGAGCCCAAACTGCGACGATGCAAATTAAATTAAATTAAATTAGGGTAGAGAGATATTTCATACCTGTGGGTCATTAAAGTTGTCGATTAGAACAGGCGAAGCTGTGTGAAAAACACCGTCACAACCATCAACTGCAGCATCAAACGATCCTTCCTCGAGTAAGTTTGCTTCGAATAATTCGAGCCTTTCTTTCGCTCCTTCGAGTGCTTTCAAGTGTGCAACCTTACTCGGATCACCTGTCGATCGAAATATCGAATTATCACACAGAGAGAGAGAGAGAGAGAGAGAGAGAGAGAGAGAGAGAGAGAGAGAGAGAGAGAGAGAGAGAGAGAGAGAGAGAGAGAGAGAGAGAGAGAGAGAGAGAGAGAGAGAGAGAGAGAGAGAAGCTCCTGTCACACATACCACCTTTCCCATTTTCTGTTCGGTGGAGCAAAAGCTTAACCAACCACGAAGCTATGAAACCAGAAGCTCCTGTCACACATACCACCTTTCCCATTTTCTGTTTGTATATATTGCACTTCGTAGAGGTATGTATATATATACACGTACAAACGAATTATTTATGAGTACGGTAAAGTATTATTAAAAAAAATATTGTATATATAAAATCCAATTTAAAATTCAATTTTAAATTTGAATTACATATTTTACAGAAACTTTTCTTACAATTTGACTTTTACATATATAAAATCCAATTTAAAATTCATTCAAAAATATTTATATTTTCTTTAATTAAACAACATATGATTACTAATACAATTGGCCAATTGGGATATTCTCTAAGTGTAAAAATGGTAATCATATATGTAATATCGTGAGGTAATCTTTAATTTTCGAGAATATATTATTATTTATTAGTTTAATTTTCGTTTGGGGCACTCATTCATGAAGAATGCTTTAATTTAGCCCAAATTTTTAATTTCATTCCAGTTTATCGAACATATTATATTTAACTAACAAGGACACACTAATAAATAGCCATGATATATAATGTTGAAATTCCTTATATGCTATAATACATCCTTCCATTCATCATTCACTTGTAAATAATTAAACTAAAAATACCTTTTGTATAGGCAATTATATTGTAGTCTCAAAATTAAATAAGCAGAGTTAGGTATGAAAGAAATGCTTGGCAATGTTATTAGCTAGGCACATAGAAACTAAAAAAAATTAGGGGTGGGTTCGATGCGGTTGCCAAACTTTTGGTTGAATATCATCATCTATCAACTCTACTCTATATTAGAAATCTTTATATGTTGTCGTACGAAATATTTCTATATATATTCCAATGTTCGATTTCAATATTGTACGGTTGATATGTGGTATTCTACAATTCATATGTATTTGCATATGTCGAAAAACGAACAGTCAATGCCTAATATATGCTCATCGTTTTTTCTTCAAAAAAAAAAACGAACAGTCAATGTCTATATGCCTAATATTCAGTTTATTGAAAAATTATGTAAAAATGAAAAAAAAAAAAAACCAAAAAGTACTATATATATTCCAATGTTCGATTTCAATATTGTACGGTTGATATGTGGTATTCTACAATTCATATGTATTTGCATATGTCGAAAAACGAACAGTCAATGCCTAATATATGCTCATCGTTTTTTCTTCAAAAAAAAAAACGAACAGTCAATGTCTATATGCCTAATATTCAGTTTATTGAAAAATTATGTAAAAATGAAAAAAAAAAAAAAAAACCAAAAAGTAATTGTCCAATTAGGCAAGCCCAGCTGGCTTTAATGGGCCAAGGAAGCACCGGCTTGTAATCCTTCCACTATAGATAGAGGGAAGTAATCGCTGCTCTGTGAAGCCAGCCTGACGCGATGCCCTCCTCTTTAGGAGCCGGTCAGCCCAAGCCTTCGCTCAAGCCGAACGGTTCAGCTCTCCACTTGGAACGGGCAAGCCAGATAAGAGCCGCCAATGAACCAGCAAGCCGGTCAGGCCTAATGTCCGATTACTTTATTGCCCCCATATGGGTCACAAGCTCACATTACTAAGCTCGGCGAACTTAGTTGTTAGTATTCAGAAATATAAAGCAATACTCAGTTATGTATATTTCCGATGTGGGATATTTGAAACTAGAATTGGCCTATCTTTTGCTCCTCATTATAACATGTAAAAATGGTAACCATACATAAAAGCCATCATTCTCTTTGCATAATTGCATTTCATTTCACACAAAAGACTCTCAGATGATATATACAGACAATTGATATATATACATATATGATAGGCCGAAATTGAATATCCAAAAGTACGTGTTAACACGATCCGTTTATTGATCTTAACCCGCCCGTGTAGGGAAATTGGGTAGGTCCTTCACCTATTGGATAAATACCTCGGAAACTTATCCAGTTTGTAGAATCTTGATGGTTTGGGTTTTCAAAGGTTGTTTGTCGGTTACTTCCAATGGAATATTTATCGGAATATTATGAACAAACTAGACCTTTCTTCGGTAAATTCGAACTGGTAAGAAATTATCTTGAACCTAAAATAAAATAAAAACATGGTCCGTATGATAAATGTAATCAATTATCATCTTTTAATTTGATTTTTGATTTGTTCAAAAACACAGGTTTAGGTCCGCATTTGGAAACTCGTCCGAATTTTACTCGGACGAATAATTTGGGACATGATTCGTACTTACAATACAAATAAACATTACTTCATTTCGAAAATATTTATCCAGAGCAAAATAAAAATAGGTACTTAAAGAACACAGAAAATAGCAAAATAAAAACGGAAGAACCGTACCGACACAGATGTAATAATCCAACAATTATAATCCTTAATAATACAAAAAATAACCTTTAGAAATTTAAAAGAGCAAAAACAACTGTGATACCATCATATTACACCACAAAATTTAAACAAAATCGATTTCGAATTACAGCAAAAAAAAAAGTAATATAAATACTCAAAACTGCGAGTTGCTAAGAAACGAAACCATACATCTCGTGCTCTGAAATAACTTATCTATTTTCTGCCACACTCCAGAATGAATTTCAAGAAGCTTCTGCGCTTTTTCCTGTAAAACGGACTGGCGCCTTACACTTTCACCATGAATCTGTTCATAACCCAAAAAATTGCATTACATGAAGCCCAAAATACAATCATTTTTCTTTTTTTTTTGTTAAAAAGAGAAGCAAAAATTGATTAATCTTTTAAAAATATATTTATTTTATAAAATATTTTAATTACTCAAGAATCCTTGTCCAGAAACCATAGTAAAATTACTAAGGGGTGCTAATGATATTTCAGAAAAAGGTACCTTTAAGAATAATCGGATTATAGCCTGTATAAACTCGTAATTATTTCTGCACGATATTTCATGAATAAAGTAATCCAGCAGAAGTTCAATGAAATGCAGTTCAGGTCTTTTGTTGGTTTCTTCCTCATCATCATCGTCGTCATCTATAATCTGAAGCATCCTAAGTTCCATATCCAATGTTGAAGGAGATAATTCTTTAACATACTCTGTAAACGCTGCAACTGCACATATTAAAAAACATACAAACGAAAAAAAATCAAATTTCTGCGGTAAAAGCAATTTCATCTCTTTAAAAAAATAAAATATTTATGAAATGGGAACTTACAATTATCTGCATCAGCCGCAGATTGAAGGTATTGTAAGAACTGGGATAATGGAAAATCAGCTTTTCTCTTCGACTTTTCCGTTTCACCACCTTGTGAATCCTTCTCTTCACCAGATTCTCTAGGCTTAAACAAAATCTCTCCAGAGAGAGACGGAATTGAAGGCAAGAAAAAGGGAGCCTTTTCGGGTTTTTTCGGTGGCTCGATCGGTTTGTTCCTCTCTTTAATAATATCCAAATTTATTAAGCTTTGCCACTGACTCTTGGGCAACAAAGAAAGAGTAACAAGATCAGGTATCTGTTTACTTAAAACCGACAAGTCCGAAGAATCTTGCACTTCTTGAGGTATTATTACAGCCTTGTCAAAATCATTATCCAAAGATTTCTTCTCCGTAGAGGACACAGATGGCAAATCGACACTCACAATTGCTTTGCCACTCCCATAGGAACCAACTTTATTAGTAGGGGCAGAAAACATCGTCTGATTAACCCACAAATAAACCCCATTCTGATCGACATGAGTTGTAGCTAAAACATCCATATTCGGAGATAGAGATAGTCCGGTTACAGACACGTCAACATGTATAGCATCTATTTGTCTAGCTAAGATCACATCCCATATTCTAATTGTCCCATCCATGCTGGAAGACAAAAGCCACTTCCCATCTTCACTAAAGCACACATCGGTTATCCGATCCGAGTGACCTTCGAATTTCCGAACCATCTTCAGTGCAACAACATCAAACAATCGAATAACCAAATCATCGGCCACAGTAGCTAAAAGACCGTTGTAACGGTGGTATACAATCTTGACCAACGAACATCCTACTTCCCACCTCGATTTCAACCCACGCCCCTTAAAGTCCCAAACTTTCACATCTCCGTTAAAGCCGCCACTTATCAGTACTGTATTGGTGGAATCACAAGCCACGCCCACCACTTCACCGCCGTGGGCCCCACGCTTTCTTTCGGACGCATCGATGTAACTGCCTCTACTAATCCCTGATTGAAGATTGAACCGCTCGATCCAACCCCCGGCGGTCCCCACCACGGCGAAATCGCCGCACGCGCTGATGGCGCACGCCTTCACCGGAGTTGGATATTCCGGGCAGGGAGACAGAATATGCTCTCCGATCACGAAGTTCTGGAGCCTCCAAACGTACGCTTGTGGAGTGTCCATGTGGCACGTCACCACATTGCACCAATCGCGTTCTCGTATTTCGGCAACATCAAATGCAATCACGGGCTTCAGTTTTATCTCGGCTTCCTTTATTTTCAGTTTCTTGGCTCTTTTTGCCACCTGGCGTTGAGAGAGCTCTCTGCTCTGCTGGTCTTGGATGACTGAGAAAAGACGAAAGGCTCGATCCTGGCCTGCTGAAAGAATATGCCTTCCATTGGCATAGAATCTTATACAGAGAGGAGGGGCACTATGCCCACTCCTAAAACGTAGAAGACGCGGATCTCCATCTGTTGTGTCGAAAATCCACATTTTTATCGAATTATCCGCCGATGAACTCATGAGCACCGGCTCGTTCGCGAAGAAGTGGAGGGAGACTATAGCGCAATCGTGGGCTTCTCCGATTACGGTATGGAGTCTTTTCTTCTCAAGATTCCATATACTTATAACGCCAGATGAACCACCAGATGCTAGGAGAGGCTGACCATCCGTGCTGAAAGATAGAGCAGTCACTGCGCCTCGATTGGAATGTGTGAAGGTGACAATCTCTTCGTCATATCGGATATTGTGGACGTGAATCTTCCCGTCTGAACAGCCAACGGCTATAACGTCTAGTGCAGGCGATGAAACGGTGCAGGATATGCCTGAATTCCAGCCTTTGAAGTCGAAAAGCTTTGTCTTGGTGCTGATGTTCCATAGTTGCAAAGAACCTTGTTGACTTCCAAGAATGACCTGTTTTAACAATGCTATTTGGTGAGAAGAGGTTTCTTAAAGAAACTAAAACTAGCGCGAGAAAAAATACAGTACCTTGTTTAAATAAGTATCTGGATGCATTATGCAGCTTGGTGTGAAGTTGCGTTCTAGTAAAATATGTCCGACTGGAGAAAGATTCTCGGTTATCCCTTTAAATGCCCAGATGTATATGTTGCCTTTGACATCGATGCTCAATATGTGTTCACCAAAAAGAAGCAATTGATTAACTTTAGCAGTATGGCTTTCCCATGTTGCCACCTGTAAAGACGTAAGAAGTACGTTTTTTCAGTTTATGTCGAACAAATTCAACAGATACATAGAGAAGCTTAAGATTATCATAACAGTATGTCTGAAACCTTCTATAACGCTGCTTCAACTTTCGTCGATTCTCACACATGAATGCGAAGCTGACTCACAATAACCATAATTCTTAATAACAACTCAATTAAGAATTTAGTTCAACGAGAACTATGTCCTCTTAACTTCGTTAGTGCTAAAATTATCATGTAATGGGTAAAACGACATACGCAAATTAGGCCATATATTAACTAAGATGTTCTTCCAGGACATTTTGTCTTCTACAAACTAATTTTCAAATAAAATTATATAGAAACAATTACATCAACTTGAATAATCATAAATACGAACATGAGCTACGTCGAAGATGTAATACTTGGTAATTAATATTTTTATCACCAGGTACCTGATGAGCACGTCTGAAAACAGCGATATTACGTCCGAATGCTGCAAATGTATATTCACGATGCGAGGCCAAAGCTCGTATCTTCTTCGGCAGTTGAGGACCTGCATTATCAACATCAAATTAACAATCTAGCTCAGTATATAAATCGAAATCGACTGTAAAAAAACTACCAGACAACACAAAATCAAAATCAAAATCAAATACTACTTCAGATTAACCAAACCATAAGAATCAACATTTAGTCATAAGAAACACATCGAAATTTAAGATAATACAATTTATTTGGTTTCGGAATCGAAAATCGAAACTCTAACTTCACTGTAGTAAAGAGGTACGATGCTTACCCACGAGTACAAGAGTGAGCTTTGCACACTGCCAGAAAATAAATTAAACAATGTTAGATTCATCGTGGATAAATAAATGGAAACCTAATCCCCAAAAACAATTGTAAAAATTATTTTTTTTAGGATTCTTTTTTTTTTGTAAAATTAGTAAGAAGCAAGTGAATACGTTGTAAACTTGGAAGGCTTTTCCGACGCTGACGGTGACGAATGTTTCGGTGCCGAGACGCTGAACGGAGAACGGCACGTGAGTTGTTATGTATCCAATTGCTCGAAACGGTTCGAATATTCCCATTTTCTGGCACTTCTTTTACCAGTCTCGTATCGGCAACGAGAGAGAAGATGAGCGGCGTCGTCCGGCGGGAGGCGGCGGCGGGGTGAACGGCGGCGGCGGCGGTAGGGATGGAAATCGGTGTCTGCTTTGGAAGCGAGACAGAAAAATCGGCGTAAGGGTTTATGCCTCGTTATTATTTGTTAAAAACCCTGTGTCTATCTATAATAAGAATAAAAAATCAATTCTTTTCCGTTTGACCCAAGGACTAAAAGTATTTAATTTTCGAAACTTGAGGGGTCAAATGTGTTTTTCGTAAATAGGGAGGACCAAATGTAAAATAATCAAACTTGAGGGGCGAAAACTATATTTTTCCAATTTTAGAGTGACAAACAATGGGATAATTACATTTTTGGCCACTCATGTTTGTTCTGATTCCACTTTTGGTCCCCATCGTCCAAACTGAATAAAGTTCGCCTCCAAAATTCAATTTTAAACACTTTCGGTCCGCTCGGTTACATGCCCTTTAGCAAGTAATGGAGAACACTATTTGAAAACAAAATTGAAATTGAATGTTTTTTGGACTGGAAAATAATTAAAAATTTAAATATACTATATATAATTATTTTTTTAATAAAAAAAAATAAATTAACCAAACAATTTTTTTTATTATACTTTATATTATTATAATTATACTGCTTATAATTATTTTGTTATAATAAAAAAGAAATTAACTAAAAAAATATTTTTAATCATACTTAATATTACTTTTAATTATACTACATATAATAAAAAATATAATAACAAAATAAATTAATGAAATAAATTATTTTTAATAATCCTTAATATTATTATAATCATACTAGTTATAATTAAAATTTTAATAATAAAAAAAAATTAACTAAAAAAAATTATTTTTAATTATACTTAATATTATTACAATTATACTACTTATGATTAAATTTTTAATAAAAAAATGAACTAAAAAAATTTCATTTTACTTAATATTAAAAATTTAACTATAAATAGTATATATATTAAATTTCTAATTATTTTAAATTTCTAATATATTAAAATAAATATTAGTTTTGGCACTAGAATAGTGTTCTCCGTTACATGCTAACGGACATGTAATGGTGGGAACCAGAAATGTTAAAAAATGAGCTTTGGAGGTGAACTTTGATTAATTTAAACTATAGGAACCAAAAGTAGAATTAGTCCACACATGAGGGACCAATAGTGTAATTCTCCCGACAAATAATAACTAAATTGGGCTTCATTTTTTTATACTGGGCTTTCCCTGAATAATATGATTTTACATTTTGGTCCCTAAAATAAATAATTATTATTTCATAATTATTTAAATAATTCCAGTGAAGAGATTTCAGATAAAGCAAAACCCTAACTTCTGCAAATCGAATCTATTAACCATGGGAATCCTATCTTGGTTCTTCAACAAAGGGAATAATAGCACCACCAAGAAGGAAGAATCGGTCCGAACCACGAAACCCGACCCGAAAACCGAATCCGTGGGGGCGCCAGGCATGAACGGGGCAGTGGAGGTCCGAAGACCCGACCCGCCGGCAGTCGACGTGTCCGTTTTTGAGTTCGGTTCGGTGGCGGCGTCCGCCGATAAGGTGACCCTCGCCGGATACTGTCCAGTCTCCGAAGAACTGGAGCCCTGCCGATGGGAGATTCTCTCCGCGAGTGGCTCCGACGCTCCTCAGTTCCGCGTGGTCTTTTGAGGTTTAAAATGATGAATTGAGGGAGATATATAATTATAAAAAAAAAAAAAACTTTTTTTTTTGTTGTTAAAAAATCTTCCTTTTATCTGCATTCTCTTGTAGTTGTAGGTTATCTGATTCTCGATGTTTATGATGCCACAGTTTGTTGATTATTATTTTTTTTTTGAATCAATTAATTATCTGTATTTGCTTTCCTCCATAGCAAAATTTTCGATTCCGATGCAATTCGATGCGAATTCGGTATTTCTGAGACAACTTTTGGTTTTGTGCTTTATCAATCTTCAATAGTATAAGAATTTGGCTAAGTTGGCAATTAAATTCTTTTTATTGTCAAGATTTTAAATGCATTAAGGAATAAAAAATCAGGCAAGAATCAAGAATGGGGATAGTTTTTTTCTGGTTTACTTATAATCTCTTGAGCTTTTGTTGTTTTTTTTCTTTCCCGAAAAATTGTGTGCATTTGTATAGCTGAACATTCCGGCGGTTTGTTTGAATGAGTGGAAAGAGAAATATCTGGGGACAAAATTATAAATATTTTCGCTTAAAATCCTGTGTTAAATCTCCCTAAATAAATTCGAAATATCCATGTCCGACTAAGAACCAGATTTGTTGGAGTTAGAGTCTCCCAGTTTGGCTCTCTTCGATTCTGTCGACACCGACACCGGCATCACCTGCTTTCCTTTCTCTCTATTGATTGGGAAGTTCATTGATTTTATAATTCTTAGATTTTGATTGCATTTGTCAGTAAAGGATGAAATTTCGGAACAAAACTTCTATCTTCAGAAAACAGTGCACAAAACTTTGTAAAAATAATAAAATGGCATATTATTGCATCTGCAGGGAGTCGAACCCGGTTACCCGGATTAAAAAGGGCGAAGTAAAAATATTTAAAATGTGCGTCTGCCGGGAGTCGAACCCGGGTCTATTGCTTGGAAGGCAATTATCCTAACCGTTGGACTACAAACGCTTGCTTGTTCTGTATTATTTCTTTGGTTTTTATATTAAGTTAGCACATAGATTCACTGATAAGATGAATTATTTATTTATATTACATACGTGTAATGAGTATATGATCTAAGATAATTTTCAAGAAACTGAATAATTAGAGGATAATTTTATACTTGCAATGTAATGTCAAAGAAATAAAGTGAGATACTCAATTATTAGACAATAACACAACGCAATATCTCATCAAAAAAAAAAAAAAAAAATTCTGAATTACTGTAAAAAAAAATCGAATAAGAAAATTAAATAAATCGACACGACTCAGAAGCTTCACTCGACTCGAATCGAATCAGAAGCTTCACTCGACTCCAATCGAATGTAGATACGGTGCCAATATACTAATTTCCTCTCCATTTCAAAGCATAGCGAGTATGATATTCACTATGGTCATAATTCGACAATTCCGAAAAAGTTATCGAACGCCATTCGTCTCTATTAGAGAGACCACAAATCTCCAATCTCGCTTCCTCCAAATCTCGGAACCATTCTTCTTGACTTTCTCTCTCCACAATTAGAATCTTCCACAAACACTCGGTAACTCCCGTTTTCCAGTCCCAATCGCCGCAGTATCGGGACTCACCGACGACGTATCTTGGCCGACAAATACCAAAAAAACCATTCAAAATATACCGAAAAGAAGGCAAACATAGAAAAAAATTCAAGCTCTCCACCGCAACGTATTTATCGCCATCGCAACCATTCTGGATATTTTCCGGGATTACGTAGGGCTCGTTGTTATAATGCATGGCACGAGTAAGGTTCAGATAAATTTTCGATTGGCTTAATGACTCGAGCAATTCTTTTAGCCTGGGGAAAAACAACGAAGGGGGATCGTTCGAAGGCTTGTACCATAAGTTCACGCTCGATTTCCACTCTTCGGAAGCCGTTGCGATATAGATGGACGGAACGAATTTTTCTGTGTATTCAAAATAGACCAATTTCGGCGCGTCGATGAATACCCGAATTCCTTTGAGTCCATTGCAACCGTTGAATTTCAAGTACTCGAGGCTCGGAAATTTACACGACGACAAGTGGTCCAATGGAGATTCGACGTACGAGAGATATAATTTCTTCAGATTAAGAAATTCGGCTCCTTTGTTCAACGAAATATTGCCCGTTTGGATTTTTAGGGTTTCGAGAGACGACGGGCGATGGATTTCGATGCTGCAAAGTTGCTCGCCGGATTTTAGACGCAACACGTCGGAATGGAATTTCAATTTCTTGAGATTGCGAAGATCATCCACCTTAATTATATTCGAGGTTACGAGTCCTTGAACATCTAAATTTTCGATCAAGGGACAATTCGCGATTATTTTTCCGAAAACGACCTCGTCCTGAATTACTATTTCTTGGAGACTAAGTGATTTTAGATGCTTGAGGGGTACTAATCTTTCAATAGCCTTTTCATCCAACACGAATCTTTCCACATGCAAACGTTGGAGAGATTCGGATCCAAACACGACCGGTGGCAGTTCGACCCGACCCGGGGCGTGATCCGAGAGAAGAGAGAGATCGAATTTCTTCGTACCCATATTTGATAATAACTCGGCCCACTTCTCGAGAAACGAAACGGATTCGTGATCCAAATCGCCGAGCGATGTAGAAAGACGAAATTCCTCCACGCACACATTTTGATCATGGCATCGCCGTAAAGCATTGTCGACAATCGATAGAAATTCATCTTTATTTATTTTATTTCGAACGCCGCCGTGAGAATTGTTTCCCTCCCTCGGAGGTGGCGCATATGAAAAATCAAGATTCGGGCGTGTGCACCAAATGTAACGCCATGGTTTGGACAAGATCGAGGTTCGAGCAGCTTCCTCTTGCGACAGGAAATATAGTATCTTGCGCAATACGTCTTTCGGCAACTCGGATATCCTGTCCATTTTTTTCACCATAGCTCTCGAAACCCTAGGGTTTTTTTTTTCTTTCTTTTTTTTTTTTTGTAAATTCAGTAAACCCTAATAGTCTGTAAGTATCGGTCGGCTCAATTAATCACATCACACGTTCTTATAGGGTTTTTTTTCCAACTCTATAAACCCTAATTATAAACCCTAAAAAAGTTTGCCACCTCAATAAATAAAGGGTTAAATACACTTTGCACCCCTGAAGTATAACATATGTAACACTTACCCCCTTAAGGTATAATTTGTAACACTTACTCACCTCAAGCACAATTTAATTTTAGTTAGTTTTCAATTTTTTACGGTCCAATAATTATTAGATTGTGATGTTTATTATGTTTTAAAATTTAAAATATAAAATAATTGATGTTGATGGGGTAAGTATTACAAATGATGTTTTAAGGGAGTAAATGTCACATATACTATACTTTAGGGTGCAAAGTGTATATATTTAACCCTTTATTTATTTATTGAGTTGACAAATTTTTTTAGGATTTATAATTAGGATTTACAGATGGTAAACTTTAGGGGTGCAAATTGTATTTAATCCATAAATAAATAAATAAACTTTTTTTATAGAGGTAACTGGTAAGTATTTCGATTAGTTTGTAATTCATTTAGGTTGGATGTTGAAGAAAATAACAATTTAACTTATTTTTTTCCTCCATGGAAATAAAGAAAAAACAATTAAAAAAAATAGTTCTTCTTATTATAATTTAAACATTTAATAGTTTTACACTCTCAAATAGTTTATGCCTAATTTGATTTAAGGTCTTGTAAATCTTCAAAACTTATTAATAATATCCATAGGTCTGTTAAAAAACATTAAAAAAATAATAATTATAGGTATAACTATAACACACGTTGCACGTAAAAGGACTTAGGTGGTGTTTGCAAATGATTATTTAAAAATAGAAGTTAGTGATTGTGAGTTAAGTCAGTTTTAAGTGCTTATTTCTAAAAGTTGGAGGTGCTTGCAAATATTCCGGAAAATGAACTTAAATAGAAAAAACAGTGTTAGGGGTGCTTTTAAAAAAAATAGCTTAAAGCAGATTATTTTAAGAGAAACAAAAACAAAAATTGATTTTGCAAACAAATAAAAGCTCATAATCATTTTCAAAAAGCTTTTGCAAACCCCACCTTATGCACACACTACACACGTTGCACACAAGAGCACTTCTGCACACACACTACATACATTACTGTGTTTACATTAATCTAAAGAAATACACATTATCGTATCTATGATTAAGTGCACTTTGCCCCCGTGCTTTTGCCGTTTTTGTGCTTTGCCCCCCAAACAAAAACAAAAATTGCACGATCGTACCCCTTGCTTTTGCCGTTTTTGCGCTTTGCCCCAAACAAAGAAAATTGCACGATCATACGTGGACTCTATTATACATTTGTACCTAAATTTCCACATGTAATGATCACCTTATCTAAAGATAATTTAAGATATACTCAATAAATAATGATAAATTAGCAATATAATATCAAGAAATGAAGTGTGTGTTTAATATAAAGTTGATTAGTGCATCAAATGTTCAAAAGACAATGCAATGCATTATTAGACAATAATAAAGAAAACTAACCAATTATTCTAAAAAAAATGAATAATTCCAAAAAAATCACAAACTAACTTTCTCTCCATTTCAATGCAATGCGAGTATCGTAGTATTCGCTGTCGTCGTAATTCGGCAATTCCGATAAAGTCGTCGCGTGCCATTTGCCTTGACTAATATCGTAAGCCTCCAATTTCGCTTCCTCTAAATCCCGAAACCACCACGACTCGTTGTTGTTTTCCAATTGATCTAAGTTACAATTGACGACGTTTCTCGGCCGACAGATACTAAGAAAACGATTTAAGAGAGACGGAATAACCGAAGATAAATGAAAATTCAAAATCAAATTCTCCACCACAACGTATTTGTTACCACCGTCGCAACCGTTGCGAATATTTTCCGGGATTACATAGTCGTTAAAATGCATGGAATGATTGCCCGTCAGATAAATTTCGGAGTCGGATAACGACTCGAGCAGTTGTTTTAGCTTGATGAAAAACGACAAAGGATCATCGTTATTATTCCCAGGCACGTACGGTATGTCTATACACGATTCCCACTCTTCGGAAGTCGTCGCAATAGAGATGGACGGGATAAATTCTCCGGAAAATTCAAAGTAGACTATATTCGGTGCGTCGATAAATAATACCTCACTTCCTTTGAGTCCATCGCAATCGTGAAATTCCAAGTTTTCGAGGCTCGGGAATTTATACGACGACAAGTGGCCCAGTGGCGATTTGACACCCCCGAGATTTAAATATTTCAGATTAAGAAATCCCGCTCCTTCGCCGAAACAAATATTCGCGTTTCCGATATTGATGGTTTCAAGAGACGAGTGGTGGATTTCGATGATGCGAAGTTCCCTAAGCACGTCACGCAATACCGTATCGAAAGAAAAATTCACATTCTTGAGATTGTGAAGATCATCATCACTCACCTTAATTGTTTTCAAGCTTAGAAACCCGTGGACGTCTAAATTCTCGATCGAGGGGCAGTTCGAGATTATTTTCCCGAAAATTGTATCGTCCTCGATCAAGATTTCTTGGAGACCAAGTGATTTCAAATTCTTGAGGGGCACTATCCTTTCAATAGCCTTTTGGTCCAACAAGAATTTTTCCAAGTACAAATATCGGAGGGGTTCGCATCCCCACACCACGGGGGGGAGTTCGACCCGACCCGGATATCGCTCCGAAACAATCGAGAGATGGAATTCCTTCGTAACCATATTCACGAGCGACGGGACCCATTTTTCTAAAAACGAAACGGACACGCGATCCGGATCGTAATTCGAATTGTCGAGCGACATAGAAAGACGAAACTCCTCCGCGCACGCACTTTGATTGTCGCGGTATCGCCGTAAAGTAGCATCCACAGCGGATATAAATTCTTGCTTCTTTATCTTGTTTTCGGCACGGAATCTATTGTAGTCTACGCCCATCGTAGGTGGCGTGTATGAAAAATCAAGATTCGGGCGCGTGCACCAAATGTAGCGCCATGGTTTGGACAAGACCGATGTTCGAGCAGCTTCCTCTTGCGAGAGGAAATACAGTATCTTGCGCAACACGTCATCCGGCAACTCGGATATTATGTCCATCTTCTTCGTCTTCTGATAAACCCTAGAATTTTTTTTTCTTCCAACTCAATAAACCCTAAAGGAATCGCCACTTCAATAGAACACATTGAACACGTTTCTCGACCGTTTTTTCTTTCCTTTTTCTTTGTCGTATATTTCCCTTCTCCATCTCTCTTTTCATTCTCCCCACGTTTTAGAATTAGTTTTGGAGAAGTTTATTTTATGGTTTTTTTTCCTCGGCGGTTTTTCTTTGATTCCCACGTTGGATTTGTTCCAACTCTTCTACACAATGAAGAAAATCCACCAGTCTCTCCAATCCCAGCAGTTTGTCTTTTCGATCTCAAATCAAAACTCCTGTCACAAAAGTCTCCTAAATATTTTGTACAAATCGATGTATTTTTGTTGTGTTTGTGTGTACGAATTGCGCGTTGATACCCTGGGCTCTGAGGAAAGAAGTAGCCCTGGTGCTTCTGTATTTTTCCGAATGAATCTGTAGTTCACATTAGTGTTTGTATTTGTTTTTATGTTTGAAGGGGAATGTATTTGCATGTTTAGTGTGGTTTGGGTTAAATGTGGGTGAATTTTCCACTCCATTTGTTAATTCATTTGAGATGAATAATTGATGTATTTTGGTTTTTCAGATCTTTTTCTTCGGGCTAAGAGTTAATAACGAAGAAGAGTTAATGAAAGGTTTTGCGACATTGTGGGTACATTGTTTTCACATAATGTATATTGTTCAAATATTATTCTTACTTTATTTCCTTCATACATTTGAATTCTAATCTTGGTTTTGTATTACAGATCAATCCTTTTACTTTCTTTGTATGCAGAACAAGATATTATATGTAGATTCTGGTGAAGATGGAAGAGCATACTTGATATTAACTTCTTATTTCGATCTAAAAGAAAATGAAGGTTATTTATTTATTGTATCATGAAAAATTCATAGTATTTATGGGGATACATTTGAATCCCATTTTCCATTTTGGGAACCAATGGGAATTTATGGTGTGTTTTTTTTTGGCTCTTTTTCAGGTTCATTGGAGGAGGATGCCAATGATTGTGTTGTTGTAGTACGGTAAATTTACTTTTGATTGTCATTTTTTTACAAAATAGCTCGCTAAGTTCTTAGAGTTCGTTCTCATCTTCGTTTTTGTTTCGAAAAATCCCATGCCAAGCGTTCTGAAGCCTAAAATCATGCTTAACATTTTTTTATTTTCTGTTGAATTTTTTTTATATACTTTGTTGTTGCTTGCAACAACAAATTTGTGTTTTTCTTTTCTGTCCCTTCGATCGGTTTTTAGAGAGGTCGTATTATGTTTATATCTAACATGTTACTTTCATAAATCTGAGTTCTTTATTGTTGTCGTGTTCGTTTGAAAAATATGACAATAAAAGCGTTTCAAAGGCAAAAAAATGTGTTCAACATTGTATCCACTTTTGCTCTCCTGCTTCTCTCCTTTTGCACGGCTAAGTTTCTCAGTCAAATATCTGAATTTGTTTATTATGATAGTGGTAGGAAAGTGTGTTGTTTTGGTTTGTGTTCCATTTATCAACCCTGTTTATTGCTTTTGCAAGAAACATGTATTTTGTCTGGGTTTTCTTGGTTAAATTTTTTTATTTCTTTATTGCTCAAGTTGAACGAATGTTTGTTGTTTCTGTTTGTATTTCATTTTTTAAGGCGTTTTTTCTTTTGCAATAAACCGGTATTTCACGTGAGCTTTTTTTCCTAAATAATATCTAAATTTCTTTATTTTGATGCTGGAATGCTTTTCTTTTTTTTTTTTTTTTTTTTATATCTTATAAGTAGTCTGAATGCTAAATTATTTTTGTTTGTGTTAAAAAATAAGTTGTTTTTTTTACTTTACATTCTTACACTACAATTTGATTCGATTTTCTTTACACATTTTGTGTTGTTCTGTTTATTGCATACGGCAGAGTAGAAGAAATAAATGGATAAAAAGAGTGGACTCAAAAATGGCAATTCGGTGGCTTTGCAATTTATATTTATATAAATTAAAATTATGAAATTATTTTAATTTATTATTTATATAATCATTGTTACTAATATTCAATTTATTTATTGATTTATTCTAAAAATTAATTTATTTTTTCCACTTAATAGCAGGGTTTTTCCCTTTTATATGTTTCTTCTTCCACGGTTTACTTTTCTTTTTTTTAGTCTTCCTATCAGTTTGTCTTTTCTTCTCATGCACTTTACATAGTAAGAATTCCTTCATAAATTCGGGTGATGACCGGAAGAATGCAAAACTCCAATTGCCTTTATCATATCAAGATTTGTTGCAACTTTGATTATGTATGTAGAATAGATCTTTGCTTCCGTACACATTATGATGCATAACTGCTCTTATTGTTCTTCGTTTTCTTTTTGTCCTATTTCATCTCTTGAGGATGTTTTAAAAAGATTATTGCAATTGGATTTGTCGAGTGGAATGAAGAAATGGGAATGAATCCACAAAAGTTACTATAAGAACGAAGCTGCTGATTTTGTGGCTGTTTGTCGAGGCAAGCCATTCAGGGAATTCCTCTACTTGACTTATTTTTAGAATAATTGTAAGTTTATTCTTTGCATGTATTAGGAAATTTTACGGGTGCATTCATCTTTGTTGTTTAATATCAATTGGTGCATCAGTTTTGATCCTCCCTAAAATCTAATGTTGTAAAAGTTGTTGGCTTATATCTTAATTTGTGCATCTCCAGCTTCACTTTCCATCTTTCTATAGGATATCACATAATTTAGATGATGAAAGGAAGAACAAAAATGACTTTGACCATGTAATTTTCCTGTAATGTTTAGAAATATGTGCATAGAAGAAAAAATCACAAATTATTTTTATATTGGTTTCTCTAATCCTTTGTTTCTGTATTTATTTATTTATTTCCTTTTTTTTTATTGAAATACAAGTTTATTTTTCCTTCCATTTTTATATTTAATTCCTGATTTTGTTTTGGATTGAAACTAAAATATAGTAATACATAAATATAGATTATGAGTTATGATTTCCAAAAAAATCGAAAAATCTTTTTTTTACTAAAAATTATATTAAAAATATCTAGATAGAAGTTCGCTTAATCCATATATCACATGTCTTCTCCAATATATCTCACAAATTGTTTGTATAGGTAACTTAGCACTCTCACACAGCGAAAAAATACTTTTAAAAACTATTTTAACTTTATATTTTCCGCATATACTTGAGTGTCATGTTTACATTTTTATACATAATGCTTGGTGTACCTATATTAATTTTCCTTTTGTTTTAGTATTCGGCCGTGCAACGCACGGGGTAAAATACTAGTTAATTTAATGAGCCATAAGAATAGGTTTATTAGTTATGGAAGTTGAGTCATGTTATATGCACATTCTTGCACATTTTTAGTAGCTAGTTTAATTGTTACTTGTTAGCATTATAAATAGATTAAGATGGTGTTTGCAAACGCTTTTTGAAAGTGATTATGAATAAAATCTGTTTTCAGATGTTTGCAAAATTAACTTTTGTTTTTGCTTCTCTTAAAATAATTTACTATAAACAACTTTTTTAAAAGCACCCATAACTCTACTTTTTCTATTGAAGTTCATTTTTCGGAATATTTGCAAACACCCCCAACTTTTAAAAATAAACACTTAAGTGTGTTTGCAATGCTTTTGAAAGTGATTATGCGCTTTTTTTGCTCATAATCTGTTTTTAGGTGTTTGCAAAATCAGCTTTTGCTTTTACTTCTCTTAAAATAATCTGCTTTAAGCTATTTTTCTAAAAGCACCCCTAACCCTGCTTTTTCAATTTTAGTTCATTTTCCGAAATATTTGCAAACACCCCCAACTTTTAGAAATAAGCACTTAAAACTAACTTAAATCACAATCACTAACTTCTGCTTTTAAATAATCATTTGCAAACACCACCTAAAACTGACTTAATTCACACTAACTTTTGCTTTTAAATAATCATTTGCACCTAAATCTAAAAGTAGCGTGGGAGAATTTTATCGATCATATCAACTTCTAGTCACTTTCTTATTATCTAATTCTAATTCTTATCCTCAATTCTATCTCTTATTCTTAATTCTTAAATTACGAAGCTTTGTTCAAATTACCACGTACCACACATAAAAGAATTATTTATTTATTTAGTATTCCAATTAGTTTGTATTATATATACCTCTACAAAGGTATAAGAATTGCAATTGAATTCCCTTCAATTGAATTCAACATCGTATCTATTTGCTGAAAAATATGATTAATTGAAAATTATTCAAAGTTTCAAGGCTTAATGGGATTAACATAAATTAAAATCAATAATTAAGAAGATTATACAACTATTTCCATAAATTGTGATCTAAATTCTAAAGGGATGGGACTGCGATGGTTTTTACCAAACAGTCGATCCATTACCGATCATATTTTGAGGTGAATAAAACTATATTAATCAAAAGTCGTTTGACTGGTAATTATCGATCAATCAACTATATTAATTAAATTTGATTAAAAAAATATAAAATAAATAGTGTTATTTTTATAAGTGGGTATTGGAAGTATCAAAATAGTTAGTATTTTACATTTTTTTAAAACCGACAGGGCAATGTTTTTGACATAATCTTCCACAAAAACTTCGTAATGTGCATGTTTGGAATTAATTTGAATTTCATAATTATATTTTGGAATGTGAAAAATGTCGTTCGAGCTTTAATAATACCGTTTCAACTTCAAACGTGATTTTTATCTTTTTTAATTCCAAATTTTGCAAAATCCGAAAAATAGAATTTGTATTTTTTTGAGTACTTTTCTAATCCAACTTGAATCAATAGGGTTCGAGTCCCCCCCCCCCCCCCTACTTCCCCTTGTAATGGACTTGAATTTACTCAAAAAAAAAAAGAAAAAAAAACTTGAATCACCAAAATTGGATGTCGGACGAGAAAGATATACATAAATCAATGGATACTGCCCACAACTTTGATGTATTGAGGTATCTAAAATTCAAAATGTGACTCATTCATGCATAACTTTGTCACACGGCATCCAATCTAACTAGCGGATTTAAGTTGAAATAGAAAACTAACCCAAATTACTACAGTTTTCGTGTTTCGAATTTTGCCAAAATCAAAATAGAAATATGTCAAAATCAGGTTCGAAGTCAAAACGGTATTGCAATATTTTTTGTCGAATTGCTATTAGCTAATTTGAATTGAAAAACAATGATGGTGTAGCGGCACAAGGCAAAACTCGCGTATTTTTACTCAAAAAAAATAAGTTCTTCCAAGTAAACTTTGTGGCGGGTATACCCATCAACCGATCCATTATAAAATCAAATATTCAGTTGCGCCAACCATTAACCGACCCATTTCAAAACAAAATATTCGGTTGCCAACCATCCACCAACCCACAAAGGTTGGGTCAGCAGTGGTGTTCAAATTTAATTGAAGATTGGTTCGTCATGTTGGTCAGTTTTTAGGCTAGTAATCGACCGGTCCAACCTGGTACTAGCCCTATCTAATATAATTGAAAAAAGTTGCAGTGCTTGGAAAAACTATTTATTATTGTATATTTGTAAAATATAAAGAAATGTAAGATTTGAAACTTCATCTGGAGTCGAACCCGGGTCTTAATATAATCGAAACAAGTCATGGTACTTGGAAAAACTATTTAAAAATAAAGAAATGTAAGATTGAAAAACACTGCGTCTGCCGGGAGTCGAACCCGGGTCTATTGCTTGGAAGGCAATTATCCTAACCGTTGGACTACAAACGCTTGATATGCTTGTTTTATTATCTGTATTACATATTATTATATCATGCTATGTAAGAGCGTAAATTATATCATATGCAACGAGTTAATTACATACAACCTCTGTGAAAAGTCTAATTGCTAGAAAAACCCCTGTATTAAATTAGCATATACCCCCTATGATGGACTTTATTTAGCCCACTGATGACTGACCCCTATTCACTATTCAAAAGGAGCTCGTTGACTGCACTGAATGGACTAAACTACCCTTAAAAAGAAAAAAATACATAAAACAAAAGCAAAATTGTATTATGCAATAAAAAAGAAAAAAAAATTACAAAATTATATATTTCTTATTTATATAAATTTTTATATTTGCAAATATTTATATTTACTTTATATTTTTGAATAAATTTTAATTTTTAGTTTATTGGTTTTTTAGGAACTTGTAAATAAATTTAAAAGTAAAACAATCCAAAATGCAATATACATAAATCTTATATATAAAAGAAAGAAACGCTGGGCAACCCTAGAAAACCCTAATGGCATTTCTGTAATTATATATTTTTAATATTTTTTTTGTACTAATTTCTAACTATATTTTTTAACAAATATCAATCTCCAATTTTTAATAAATATAACTCAAATCTTAAGAGATAAAGATAGAGATACGATTTTTTAAATCTTAATCTATATATTTGGATTATAAATCTTAATATGTAAGATTTAAAAAAACCACTTCTACATAAAATATGAATAATACTAAATCATTAATTTTACTAATTATTTCTTTCACTTTTAAAATAATATCCCGTGCATCGCACGGGGAAAAAATGCTAGTAAATTTAAAACTCCAATACTAATTCTTTTATGTTATGATTATTTCCATTTTCGTTTCATAACAATCAAAATAAAAAAAAATAAAAAAAAAAAAGACAAATAATATTAAAAGAAATGCAACACTCACATCTGGAATTGCCCATCCTCTCAAACCCAAAAGCCTACACCTGTGTGAGTTAAGAGGGCCACCGCCTGAGGAAAAGGAAGGGATGAGTGGAGCGACGTGCCGGCGGCGAGTTGTTACGTGAGAGAGAGAGAGGGCCGAAGATGATGATGAGTTCTTTCCTTTTTCTTCTTAAAGTTGAGGGATATTTATGACTTTTCATGTCAAAATGACAACAACAAACCGCACTAACGGCGCGTGTATCACACGATCTACGGATAGGGGGGCTGGTGCCTTTGACTTAGTACTATAGGGGGGTAAATGCTAATTGTTTTTACATAGAGACTTTTCCCGGCATTAGACATAACACAAGGTACCGCTTGCTAAACAGTTCCATATTCAACCCTATTTAAATTTAATGGAAAATTTACAGTTTCATCCCTTAAGTTGCAACAATTCCACATTTGGTCCTCCATGTTCACTAAATACACATTTGATCCCCCATGTTTCAATAATTGATAATTTTGGTCATTTACGTCAATTTAGGGTGGTTAGTCCGTCAGTTACGGTAGCGACGGGAACAAGTTTGACTCCATTAGTTTTAACGTAAATTTACAAAAATGATTAAAATTGTTAATTTTTTGACACATGAGAGACCAAATGTGGAATTAGAACAAACTTGAGGGGTGAAAAATATAATTTCTCAAAATTTAATCATTGTCGATTCCATATATAACTATTGGTGCAAATAAAACCCCCAAAAATTCTATTAATATAAATCAAATTATCATAAGTATGAGAGAGAAAAAAATATCGGGCCAGGGGATGGGGGCCCTGGGGCGAGGGATTTCGCCTTTTGTGCAAGAAAAAGAATATATATATGTAAGTGGAAACCAAAACAACCACGTCTTTATTTATTATGCGCTTACGCAATATTCTACGTACCAAACCCTAATACAACTAGGTTTTCTCTTGTATATATATATACAATACAACGTCCCGTAGATTAATTAATCCTCATTTAATTTAGCAAAAAATAAAATAACACCATAATTAATCAAGATGGAACACGATGCAATCGTCGGCAAGGGTTTGGCCGGCGCTCTCGAATTTCTTCGAATCCGACGAATGTTGAAGAAGACCGTCGACTGGTCCGGTCGTAACACCGAGAAGAAAAAAAGCAAACTCGTCGGTGAAGAATCGGAGGAAGAAGACGGAATAAGGATTGATAGAACAGACGAGTACGGAAGAACTCTTACACCGAAAGAAGCCTTTCGGAGATTATCGCACGCCTTCCATGGGAAGAAGCCCGGTTTAACCAAACGGAATAAGCGTATGCGCCGCTATCACAAGGATTTAACGGTGAAGAAGATGAGTCTGAAAGAGACGCCGTTGAATTCCGTAGGGAAGATGTGGGATGCTCAGGAGAAGCTGCAGACGCCGTTTCTTGTTTTGAGTGGCCACTACGTTATTTAGGGTTTTGTTTTTAGGGTTTTTCTCTAGGTATGTTTTCAAATTTCTTTTATTTTATTTTGTTTTGTTTTGTTTTAATTATTTGGTGCAGATTTTGAGTTTAACTGAACCAGTTTCTACTATGGATCTAAAGGATGAAGATGATTTCTTCAGATAAATAGGTGTGTTAATTACTTTACTATTATTAAATTAATCTTTTTCTCGACGATTTTTTTTTTCTGTTCGAAATTAAGCTAGATTTCATTAATCTAGATAAATTTCAAACTATTATATTGAAGATTCTAGAATGGTCTAGAATTCGTGAATGTGGAAGAACACGTGAATATATGCGACTCTTGGTTTCATGACTCGTGTACTTGGATAGGGGAAAACATCCGCGCGTATTAATTATGTGGTTATATATTATGATAGATACATGCTGGGAAAATCGTATAAATACCGATGTAGTCTTTTCATTTGAGTTAGTTTAGGTATGTACGTAATTATGAATCGTTGTGGTGTTTTATCATGTTTTATGCAGGTGCTGAAATTTTCAAGAAGTTCTTGAAATTTCAGATATGGGCTTTCAACTTATTACTTATGAGGTTATATTGTTCTTACCCATATTTGATAATATATCCGAATCGTAATCCAAATCGCCGGGCGATGTAGAAAGATGAAATTCCTCCACGCACACATTTTGATCATCTAAATCGCCGGGCGATGTAGGAAGATGAAATTCCTCCACGCACACATTTTGGTCATGGCATCGTTGTAAAGTAAATTCCTCCACGCACACATTTTGATCATGGCATCGTTGTAAAGTATCCTCGACAATGGATAGAAATTGTTTTTTTTTATTTTTTTTATTGGTCCGATATTCTGTCCATTTTTAAACCCTAGAGTTTTTCTTTTTGTCAATTCAATAAACCCTAATAATTTGTAACAAGAATCACCCAGCTCAATAAATCACAGAAAACATTGTAATAAATTTCTCTTAAACTCAGTAAACCCTAAAAAAATTGCCACCAATAAAAAAAAAATAAAACAGATAATTTTTTTATAAGTTATAAGTCTACAAAGGTAAGAATTAGATTGAATTCCTTTCTTGCAGACCTATTTTACTTGTTTCAGGATTCCTCCTCGTATGTATTTGCTAACTTATTATTCTGTCATAGTAAAGAAAATTTTAAATATAATTATGTTGCAGCTTCTTTTTTTTTTTTTTTTTTTTTAATTTTAAAATAAACATTAATATGATTAGTTGGAGAAAATTCAAAATTTACCGGGATTAAAAAAGACAAAGTAAGCAGCAGCATATTGCGTCTGCCGGGAGTCGAACCCGGGTCTATTGCTTGGAAGGCAATTATCCTAACCGTTGGACTACAAACGCTTACATGTTAGTTAATTTATTTTGTCAGTAAACTCCAATAAAACAAATAAAAATCTTTTGTGATAATAATAATATATATCACATGAGGAAAGTATTATAAGCTCACGTGGACATAAATATGGAAATAAAATAATTTTTTTTTCTGAATATTTTATTTTATTTTATATTATATTTTTATTTCAATTAAGATTATCTTCAAATAATTGTTGAATATTACAAATAAATTTATTATATATATTATACAATTTACAATAATTTGGACTTAATAACGTATAGTTTCTGCCTTTGCTTAAGTCTTAAGAATCTTAAAACTTATAAGCACTTACTATGTTTTCTTTAAGTAAAATAAAACTACATTCATCTAAAAAAAATGCACATATACTATATTTATGATGTTAAGGGTTACAATGTAACTCGACTAGAATTCGGTATGTCTGCGACAACTTTTGACATTGTTTTAGTTTTAGGCTTCTAGGGATCGGGCAAGAATCAATAATCGGGTTGGTTTTCCATATCCTTATACTTGGCATTTGTACTTATGTGCGCGCTTCCAATTTGTTGCTAGCTAGACTTAGTTCTCGTATTAAAATCGTAATTATTTCTTTTTTTTTTTCGTCAATCAGCATACGGGTTCACTTGTTAAGTTCTACCAAAAACCAATATTAATGTCGACAAAATGAAACTATAGTGTTTTCAATGGATAGTTTAAAACTTCACCGGTTTGGAAGTTTAGCCCCTACTCATTTTATTGAAAATTGCCAAAACAACCGGACTTTGTTCGAGCTCGACTCGTTTACTACCATTCTGTATCAACTTCATCTCCTACTACAAGAAAAAGTTGCATTAGCGACACCCCAACTGTGAATAATCCTTATTTATTGTCACTATAAAGCATTAGCGACACCCTGTTAGTGACAACACTTTTTGCATGTTGTCACTCAAAAGATTTTTTTTTTGTAGTCTCCAGCTTCTGCATCAAAAAAAAAAAAAAAAAAAAAAACCGATCAAAATCAATGTCGTTCGAAAAACCTTTGCTAATGTTACCTATGTAAGTAGAGCACATTATTTGTTAGAGGCAATAACCAAATAGTAACACATGAAAACCGCACGAAAGAAGCAAAATAAGACCCGAGATCGAATTTATTAGGAATTCGATCTCAAACTAAATAAACTCCCACTGTTCATGTTGAATTAACAACAACTCTAGTGGGAGAAACCAAACTTTCGACATAAATATTATATTCGCTATAAAATGGAGACTTGTACGTCGCACGATTTTCTAGTACCGCTTTCGAGTGGAAACTACGATGAATCGCAAAGTAGGAATCTTGATCGAAAACCATCAACTTGGTCCAAGATTCTTCGACCCCGTACTCTTTCATCGCCCATAGCTCATAAGTCGAGAACGCAGTGATCTTGTGCGCGCTGCTCTCTCTCCAACACTGACCATGTCGTTTGCACAACAGCACAGAAAGGCATCCATTAACTTCTCCGATCGTGAAGTCGTGCATGAGGCGGGCCCGCAGCTTATCTATCGGTAGGCGCATCTCCGTCGCCATCTCTCTCCTCAAATCATACGACAAAATTGTTCGATACACGCGAGCGCTGTCGTCATCCTCACCGTCGTACGTAGGCCAATGGACGTTGCCATTGAAGAGGATCCCTTTTGCCGCGTCGGGGCCGAAAGAGTTGACTTTCCCGAACTCTCGCGTTGACTTCCAACTATTATTATTATTATTATTATTATTATTATTATTATTATTATTATTATTATTATTATTATTATTATTACAACTAGGTATGACAAGGTGCAATTTGGACGATTTTGTCCCTAGGAAAAAATTGTAGTCGCTGTCGTGGAGTTCGAACCAGCTGCATATGATTCTTTCGTTGTCGTATTTGGACCAGCTGCATATGATTCTTTCGTTGCTTTCGTCGTCGTCGTATGGCGGCGGCTTCTTTATAGGGAAGGATGCGGCTGTACGGGTCGATGGATTCCATATATGAACGATCGCGCGTGAAGAATCGAAAAGGCACACTAACCCGTCGCATGAACTGCCCATGAATACTATACGTTGGCGATTATAATAATGATTGAAAGGAGAAAAATCGGTAACGGGTGGAACGTTTTTGCGTAATTCAGGATAGACGGAGTAGCTGATTGATCGGAGGCGCAAGGACATCGTCGAACTTGACCTTTCGAGATGGAGCCTTGTGAATTCGTCGCTCGAAATAAGACGGCCCCACTTCTTGCACACGAATATGAATTTTATTAGGGTTTTCACGCGCAGCCTCGACAAGATTTCCAGCAGGATATCTACCGGCAATTCCACAGGCTCTCTCTTGTTGATGATTCCCATCTGAAAAAAAGAATACAGTCGGGACTAGCAAAATCTATTAATTTAGCGAATTATTAAATTATCGAGTTAATAATTTAACATGTTTTCACCGAGTGCAGATACAAACCTCTTTTCTTCTTCTTCTTCCGAGAATACTTATTTTCTTCTTCCAAACACAAGAAGAAAACCTAGTCAAATAGTTACCATAGAAGAGTTTAAATTCGAGAATACCTAGTACGAGTGTTTATACCTTCTTTTGGAGATTAAGTTAATTAATTAATGGGCTCAAGCCCGTTAATTGTGGGTTAGGGTTTGAAGTTTGAACACCAGTAACTAATATAATTAAATACTAAATAGATACTCTATATAATTCAAGTATCGATTGAGTTTATTTAATATTATTTTCTCGTATGATTTATGATTGAAGACCAAATGCTGAATTGTTTTATCAATACAAAGTTCTTTTTTTTCTTCCAGCAATATCAGCTCATAAGGAAGCCATATACATACAAAGTTGAAACTAATTTGATTATTCCCCAGTATGTAAAGATTTAACATACAAAGTTGAAACTAATTTGATTATTCACGATTTAACATACAAAGTTGAAACTAATTTGATTATTCACGAGTATGTTTATGTAAAGATTTAAATAGTGAGGAAGCCATATACATACAAAGTTGAAACTAATTTGATTATTATGAAAGAAAGTTTGGAAAACTTATTACATCCAGGATAAAGTTCTTTTTCTGCATCTTTCATGAGCTTGTAGAATTTCTCAGCTTCTTTACAAGGTCTTTCTACTTCCTCAATATCTGGCATTGTTTCTTCATCATTGATTTCATCATGCACGAAAAATGCATCATGCAGCATTTCTTCCATGTTATCAGATGCATTCATATGATCATATTTATTTGACGGCACTTCGTTAGAGAATAACTCTCCATGAAGTAGCCATTTAGTGTACCCCCTCAAAAACCCATTCCAGAGAAGATGTTCTGACACAACCGAACGTGTTTTGCATAGACCATTTTTACATTTTTTGCACGGGCATAAGATCATCCCATCATTTGAATTTGAGAAGGCTAAGTTCAAAAAATGTTGCAATCCTATTCGATATTCATTGCTTGACCTTGGTAGATCCATCCATGTTTTGTCCATCTAAGTATTTTTGGAATGAACCAGAAGTAATAAAAAAATAGAAGTAATACAATAACAAATTATAAAGTAAGTGAGTAAGAAAAAATACCTTTAAACTTCAAATCTTACGAATAATTCACCCAAGCAACCAAGATCTCTCTAGAAATTGAAATCACCTTCGTTGAGTGACTCAAACCCCTGATCATCATGTTTAATTAGAAGAAGTTAGTTTTAGAGAACAGTCGAAATAAAAATATACATGCATTATCAAAAAATTAACACGATTTGAGTACTCGATTAGACCTCCCATACTAAATCATATTAATTTGATTTCACTTTACATATATCAAATTCTTATTATACCTACTGTACAAGTTCACAAGAATTACATTGAAAAAGAGTTAGAGTTATAAGGAAAAACCATATCTGAAACATGGAAAAAAACATTTATGTCTGATTCCAACCATACACACCAACATCTAAGGTCATACAATTCAGTCAAAATTATTCTTTAGTAACTGAGCATTACTAGAGTCCAGAAGACGACCGATTCAGAACTCTTCCGAGAGTTTTTTTTTATAACGTTTTAAGAGAAAAAAAAAAGAAACACTTAACAAATTTGTAGAACTCGACAATTAAACCGGTATTTATTTTATTGATATACAATATACTATCAAGTTTATATTTTAAAAGGAATTCATATATTACATATGTTTAACTATAATGAACACATAAACGTTCTCTCAACCATGGCAAAACATCTCTAGAATAATTTTAAGAATAAATCTAAACAAAAATATAATTAACTACTCACTGAATACATATTGTTACAAG